TGATGACGTGCGGATAAACCAGCGGACTCGATGGAATCGCTCATTCGCACGAAAATAACCTGACGATGAGAGAGAAATATCAAAATTTAATTCGGTGAGATGATGGTAATATTGGAATTAAGATTTAAATAAGAAGTTAATACCAATAATTTTTCAAAAGCAGGGAGTGCAATATAAGTAAAACTTTGATGAAACTGAACTTAAATCTAAAAATAGTGATAGGGATTTAAATCAAATTGTCAGTTTAACTAATTTGTTGTTATATTTTTTATTAATATTATTATATACATATTTAAATTTAAAATTAATTTATAAGTTAACTTTATACAGATATATTAATATAAAATTTATAAATAATATTTTAAAATCTTAATAAATAGTACTAAAATAGTATTAAATTTTGTTAATTTGTATGTTATATATATTTATTATAATTACATGATAGTTAAATATATATTTAGTTATATTATTTGTCAATTTGTTAAAATATATTACTAGTGTGTTTCGTTTACAAGATTTTGACAAATTTACTATTCGACCAAATTATTTTCCTTTAAAAATATCAAATCAAATATTTATTTTTTATTTTTTATATTATACTAAAAATAAATTTTACATTTAAAATATCACATCAATACCTATTTATATCACATCATACAACTATTCAAATTCAAAATTTTTACTATTCAAATCTAACCCAAAACCCAAACCTCCAATTATAAATTATTTTATGTATATTTATACAATTTCTTTAAATTATAAGAATGTGTTATAAAGTTATTATTATGCTAAATTCATATTAATACATGTAAAAATTAAAATTAAATATCATAAAATTTAATAAAATATATCCGTGCATAGCACGGGAAATACGCTAGTATATATTTCTAAGAATTGTGTGGGACCAATATTTTCAATTCCTAGCCCCTTTGTAGGCGCAGACGATGCGTCACAAGTAATTTTTGATTTCTTTCCAGGCAGTGCTCCTTGTCGGAGCTACCACAGCTCGGTGTGGAAGCGCTTATCCCGAATTAGGGAAGAGGTTCAGTTGCAGATTTATTGGACTTTAGGTCAGGGAGTGTGTTATTTCTGGGATGTTAGATGGCTTGGAGAGCAGCACCTTTCGACCTTTCGGGAGGGCAGACTACTGCCGCCGCTGCCGATCTTGGTTCGAGATATGTGGAGTGGCGACTCGTGGGATATTGTGAGATTGTGAGCATATCTTTCCGAGTCGCTCGTTCAGCGTATTATCGAGGTCCCTATTGATAGACAGTCTGAGGATCGAATGAGTTGGATGGCCTCGTCATCCGGTAAATTTACAACATCCTCAGCTTGGGAGCTTTGCCGTAATACGGGGTATGGAGTTGGCTGTCAGGGATATTGTGGTCGCGTATTCTTACTCCGACGATGTCAGTCTTCCTATGGAGATTGTTTCGGAGACGGATACCGACAGATGAGATTATTTAACATAATGACGTTTCGATTGTCTCACAATGCCATTGTTGTCATATGGAGGTCGAGACTATCTCCCATCTCTTTATTAGTTTGGCGGTTGCCTGACGAATGTGGGAGCATTTTGCGGTGCTTTTTAGGATATCTTTTCTGGAGACACACACGTTGCATCTATTTGTGTCTTCGTGGAAGCTTTCTTCGGCATATCCTCAGAGTATTAGAGCCTATGTTCCGTTGTTGATACTATGGTTCATTTGGATTGCTCGGAATGATGCGAAGCACATAGGGCTTTGCGTGTCTTCCGAGAGGATCATATGGCGGATTCATTCACACTTACAAACTCTTTGGTGTGCTAGGATTCTATTACGTCGGCATTGGGTAGGCGATTTTCATATAGTAGAAGGACTTGGATTTCGATACCCCCCTCCGATCCCTGGGCCTCCGATTATGGTGCGGTGGGAGGCACCGTCTCCAAGATGGTTCAAGCTTCACACAGATGGTGCTTCGCTTGGCAATTCCGGAACAACAAGAGCGGCAGGTATTATCTGAGATTTAGCATGAGCAGTTCTCATTGCGTTTCAGACTCCGATTCCGCAGGAGACGAACACTTTATCAGAGCTGACGGTGATTCAGATTGGAGTAGGGATAGCGATTGATCGAGGATTGATGCCATTATGGATTGAGACAGATTCGACAGCATGCATCTCCCTGATCTCTTCCGAGATGAGCCACTGGACTCTCCACCGATGCCTTACGTGTATTCGGCTGTGGCTTAAATATACGACTTGGCGGATATCTCATATATATAGAGATGGGAACCGCGTCGCAAATGCCTTAGCAACTGTGGCGGTTTCTCTCCCGATTGAGCGGATACTTCTCCCAACATATATTCATTTGTTGATTAGAGGCTTCCTTCAAACATAAAATGTTGACGGTCTCCCAACTTTTCGTTTCAGATAGCAAGCTTCACCCTCTTACTTGATTTTGACTTAGCTTAGATCGATAATATTTGGACAGAATAGCTTAGTGCTTGGTATGGTATTATGCTTTAGGCATATATGCTTTAGACATATTGTCTTTGGCTATTTGATACTTAGACTACCTAGATTTATCTTATTTGTTTGTTTTACTGGGACGGTATAACTTAGTAGAACTACGTATGACTTGATCCCGTTTGGGTACATAGGAAGCCCCACTTTAGGCGTAACTATTGCTATATAGTCATTAAAAAATAAAAAACATTCCTAGCCTCTCAAAATTTTAAAATTTTTAAAATAAAAATTATTATTATTATTTTTTTTGAAAAATTACATAAATTTTGACAATTTCAAATTAAAAAAAAAAGTAAAAGATTTTTTTTATAGATAATTATTATAATTTTGGAATGTCTGTATTTAAAAAAATTAATAGTTTTATTTTTATTTTTTGGAAATTTTCAATAACTCTGGAATCTTAAGATTAAGATTAAGAGGGTGTTTGGGAACAGCGTTTTGAAGAGCTTTTAGCTTATTAAACAACTTTTAGCTGTTTAACAAGTGAAAAAGCTAATTTAGGTGTTTGATAAATTAGCTTTTTTAAAGAGCTTTTTGGACTAATTTCTGAAAAGCTCATCTACCCAGCGTTTTGAAAGAGTTTTTTCATTTTAATTTTGGTTATTTCTTATTTATCCTTAAAACTTAATTATTTATTTTATACATATAAATATATTTTTATAACAGTATTTATTTATTATTTTTAATATATTTAATTTATTAAATTATATTTTTATTTTTGTAAATTTAAAATAATTACTATTATTAATTATTACATATAAATTATTTTATTTGTAAAATATATAAATTTTTAAAACTAAATCAAATAGAAAAAACAAAGATTATTGATTTATTTATATATATTAAAACAATAATTAACATAATAAAAATATATATACAAAAGATTTATTATTTTATATTTTACATAATTTTAATAAAAAATTATTATTTTTTAGTACAAATAATTTTCTCAAATCTAAATAATAAAAATAAAAATAAATATTTTATAATATTTTTATAATTTTCAATAATTAATAACAAAAATTCTCATAAATTTCAAACTAAAATGAACAAAATTAAATATTTTAAAAAATAACATATCAATGTCCTTAATAGTCATTTTATGTATAAACAGCTAATGTCAAACAGTTGTTTTACCAAATACTTTAATAGAAACCGCTAATTGAATCAGCTATTCAAACCAGCTAATTAAATCAGCTAGTCAAACCAGCTAATTGAATCAGCTAACAGCTAAAACCTTATCAGCACCCTAAAACAAATATTTTTATAGAAAATCTTATTTTATGTATTGTGTTTTCAAAAATATTATTATACAAGTTTTATTTATACTTATTTTATACTCCATTAAAATTGTTAAAATGTGCTTTCAAAATTTGAAATTTGATTTTTTTTTAAAAATATGAAAATACATCTTCATTTATTTTAAAAAATATTTATTTATATTATTTTTTAACTATATATTATTTTCAATTTGTTATTTTAAAAGATTTTATATAGATTTTTTTTAAAAAATTTTCATTTCTAATTAATACAAAAAATATTTTTATGAGAATACTTTTAATATTTTTTTTTTATGTTTTTTTTTAGATTAAATTTTTGTCTTATAATTTTTATTTAAAAATTAACTTTTATAATTTTTGTAACAGTTGAACGAGCGTAATATAAGTAGGACGACATTCTCTTATAATTGTAGTTGCTACGAAAAAAATATCGCAACAAAAGTGAAAAACATTGACCAGACAAGAAAAATAATTTGTTATTAAGTTATTCGATACAAAAAATAGCTTTTGCAATGAAATATTTGTTATTATTTTGGTTGTGAATCACAACATATTGTGCTATATGTAATTAATAATGTGGTTTTAAAATATGTGTTACACATTGTATTAATATTTATTGTATGAACTATATATTGTATTGTGCTATATAATATGCTTATTGTGCTTAAATTGCACTATATTGCGCTAAATAAAAATATATAATATACTATCAAAATATATTATATATATATTTATATTAATATGTGTTGTCTGATATTTACTATTGTGTTTTTAGTAAAAATGCATAAAACATGGTGTATATTATTTATTATGTGAAAGCCTTTGTATTAATGTTAAGTTTACATCAAACACCCTAATTGTCCAAAATTGATATTTGGATTTAAATAAATACCTAAATTAAATTTTTTTATATAAATAAATAACATAAAATATCTTAAATAATTTTTTTAATAAATTAAATAAATAAATAATTGATCAATTATTTATTTTTATAATTTTTATAAAAATCAGATAACAATTTGTTTCCAAAAATTATTAAATGAAGAATTAATCAATTATTTATTTACTTATTTTATTCAATAAAATTATTTAATATATTTTGTCTTTTTTATTTGTATAAAAAATAATTTAAATATTTATTTATAACCAAATATCAATTTTGGACCAGGATTATATTTCATGCAAATTTTATATTAATACAAAGTGATTTTACAAAATAAATAAAATATTGGGTGTTTGGCGCATTTTTATTAAAACAATGTATTGTTATATAATTTGAGGCACGTAAATCAAAGTTATTTTCTCACAGTAAATTAACTACAAGCAATTATTTAACCAAGTCAAGTTACCAACACACACAAAATTTCACTCAGGCAGACGAGGCCGACATATCGAACGATTTCCTTCTTACCAAGAGGCACGTGACCTTGGACGAACTATCGATGCTGCACAAGACGAAATCCGGTCGGTGGAGGGCAAGATTTAGCTGATCCTCGCCGACCACGAGGGCCGTAGCATCGAGCAGCACGTGCCACGAATTCCGGTGAGCTTCCGATATCCAATGCATAGAGTATCTCGTCCCAGCGACTTCGGCCGGATACGAGAAGAGCCCCTTGGGACTGTGCTTGCATTTCCGTCGAAAATAATGGCTTAGCTGCGATCCCTTAATCCGCAAATCCAACCACGTCTCCGGCGCCGCGATCACCCTCGATTCCTTGTAGCTCGCAAACTCCCTAACGCAATCGGAATCCTCGGAGACTATGGTTAGGTAGTAGTTACCCTTGAAGAAAGGGTAGCTTTCGCCAACCAACATCATCGCGTCTTTGTAACTTTGAGTGAAGAGCACAAGATATTCCTCATCGGGCAACCCGCAATGCTTGAGAACTTTGTTCCGAGCTTGGATTTCGGGGATCGAGATGAAGCTTCCGAGGAAGGAGGATTTCTTGGTGAGGATGCTAAGCAATCTCGACGGCTCGAGTTGTGTGTTCTCGAGGTCGGCAAGGGTGCTACCGTATGATGACGGTAATGACTCTCGAGGGGACTTTCGTTTCTCGTCAGGTTGGGGCTCCGAGAGATTTTCTTTGACGCAAAGATTGTATAGATCAGTTTTTTCACCTCCTTCGACAAGGGCGTTTGAGTATTCGGGGTACTTTGCTAGGACGTATTGCTCGACGTATTGCATCTCGGACGGAGTTATTGGTCCCGACCACCTTAGGTCGAGCCCGTGGAGGGTCGATATGGCTTCCGCGACGATATGTGCTGGTATTACTCGGTGAGTTTTCTATATAAGAAAAAAATCGAACAGTTGTAAGATTTTATCCCTGATTTTACTATTTCAATTTTCTTTTCTCTCTAAAAATATAAAATCAAAAACCCAATTTTTATTTATTTTATTATACTAAAATCTAATTTTATATTCAAAATTTTACTATTCAAAATCAAAATCCAAAACCAAAACTTCACAAGTAAACACACTTATTATTTTTATATATAGTCGATCATTTGCAAGAGGGGTAAAAGTACCTTAATAACCATGCTGCTCGGCTTCCCGTTTCCGGTCGATGTCGCCGATTTCGCGGATTGATTGAACAAGGATTTTCTCAGATCTTCTTCCTTCTTGTCCTGAATTTTACATAGATAAAACACAAGATCAGGAATCCCATTACAACCTTTATCAATAGAACAATACAATATTACATCGTAGGAGTTGTAGCTCAAGCGGTTGAACACTTTTTGACATGTTGTGCCCATGTGGGTAAGAGAAAAAACAAAAAAAAAAACAGTCTTGGAATGATCATGTATGTTCTTCTCTTACCTTCATCCCCGTCGGCGCAACTTCCGTTTGATCGTCTTCATTCGACATGATTGTCGGTGATCCTCCCCTGCCCATAAACTAGCGATGGATCGTTATGACCGAACACTTGTCGACTGGATCTACTTCTCGAACAAAGTCAACCCCGACTAAGCGAACCGAGAGCTAATGAAGACACTAGCGTGTGCCAAGAACTATGGAAAAAAAAAAAGAGATTCTTGTTTAAAGATGATATGGAACTCAATTGACATGGTGAAGATGGCAAGACATTTTCTTGAGATCGAAGCTGCGACAACGACGAAGAACGAATGAAGGTATATAATATGGATTGAGTTGTAAGGTGTGGAGTGGAGGGGAGGGGAGGGGAGGGGAGGCTAGAAGCTTCCTCCAATGTAAAAAAAATGAGAAGAGAAAGGGACAGGTAGCCAAGTTTGTGACTATAAAATAGAAGAGGAGAAAGGGACAGACCTATTGGTGATTAAATATATATATATATATATATATATGTTGAAGCCTAGTATGGAATATTTGGAGCATATGTTCTTGTGTTAGAAAACAGAACAGCAGCAGCAGTGCTTGGGAATAAATATAAGGGTGTGTTTGTTTGGGGGTTTGGATTTTGAGTTGGGATTTGAATAGTAAAAATTTTGAATTTGAATAGTTGTACGATGTAATATAAATAGGTGTTGATGTGATGTTTTGAATGTAAAATTGATTTTTAGTATAATATAAAAAATGAAAAATAGGTGTTTGATTTGATGTTTTTGGGGGAAAAAAATTGAATGAATAGTAAGATTTTGCACAAATCTTACAAACGAACACACCCTAACTGTAAATTATATATAACACTGTTTTAGTAAAAATGTATAAAATACTTATGTTTTATTTATTGTATAAGATTTTTTGTGTTAATGTAAAATTTTGGCCGAAACACCTCTTTGTCGAATACTGATGTTCGATTCTAAATAGATGCCTAAATTATGTAAGTTTTATATAAATAAAAAATATTAAATATCTTAAATAATTTTTTTCAATAAAATAATAAAAAAGTAATTGATTAATCTTTCATTTTATAGTTTTTGGAAACAAATTGTTATCTGATTTTTATAAAAACTATAAATATAAATAATTATTTATTTATTTATTTTATTCAAAAAAAATTATTTAAGATTGTTTACATTTTTTTTTATGTGTATAAAATTTACGTAATTTAGGTCTTTATTTAGAACCGAACATCAGTTTTAGACGAATAGGGTGTTTCGTGCAAACTTTATATTAACACAAGGGTCGCACAATAAATAAAATATATGGTGTTTTGTGTGTTTTTATTAAAATAAACGGAGAATGTTATATAATTTGCCCTAAATTTAAATTGAAACTTTTATACTGATTTAGATTCAAATCAAAACCATAATAATTAGACTGCATTAATAATATATTTAATCAAAATAGATATTATTTTGACAGGATATAATAAAACTAAATATAGTACTGTATTGATTTCTACACAAAATTTATCTTTATAAAAATACAGTATAATATAGAAATTCCATAACACATGCTTTTATTGCACAATGGTATGAAGTGCTATATATAAACATGATTTGTCTATCGGGTAATTAGCACCATTTAAAATTTATATTTATGTAGATACTTAATTAGCACATGATTTTTTTATTTTTATTTTTTAATTTTAATTAAACTAATGAGTTATTTTAATTTTAAATTATACTTATTTATATTATATGATAATTATTTTTACTAATATATTTTTAATTATATACTAATTATATTTATCTTAAATTCTAGTGTGTACAGTGACCCAGACATCCAACGTGGGACGGAGGGAGTATTATTTTAAAATATTATTTTGAATAATAAATTCAATTTATATTTTATAGAAATAATTAATTTAAAATAATATTTTAAAAATTTTACTATAAATTTTTAAAAATATATATAATGATTATTAAAAATATATATTAATATATTATTATTTTTATATATTTTAAAAATATTAAAAAATAATTATTTTTTATATTATGAAATAATTGTAAAAAATATTTTTGTTGAAGTATAAATATATATATATCAAATAATTTTAACAAAAAAATAAAAATAATAATAAATATGACGTACAATATGATTATATTGAAAACATGGTCGTGAACATGGCCTAGAACATGGCTGTGTTGAGAACATGGGCAGAAATATGATTGTGTTCAGAACACGGGCAGGAACACGGCCGTGTTCAGAAGTGCAGGGTAACCAACACGGCCGAGTTGGCTGCCTGGGACGCCCAGTCACCTTCTTAATCATTCAACACGGCCGTGTTCAAGCCGACACGCCCGTGTTCAGTCCCAGTCAATCATCTTGGGACTAAAATTGATAAATTTTTATTTGAATGAGACCAAAATTGATAATTATGATATTGAATGAGACTAAAAATGATTTTTACTCGAAATATATTCATACTTTTCTTTTAGTTCGTTTGTTAATTTACTCTATTAGTAATTTTGTCAAAATCAACATATAATAACAAATTCAAAATTGTAATAAAGCATTGCCCATTTAGTTTTATACACATTCACAAGTAGAGAGTTTTTCCGGTCTTTTCTGAATCGGAGCTAAAATCCCAGAAATGAAAATTATTAAAAAATATTATAAAAAAATTATTCCTCAAACACCTTTTAAATATGTAACTAATATCCACAATTCAAAACTTATTTATAATAAATACTACTATTCTTGTTATATTATCTCCTTTTTTTTTATTTCTTTAATTTTTAATTAAGTTTTCAAAAATACCATAAACTACCTTTAACTAGCTTTAACTAGCTTTTTACTTTTAGGGAGGGTTTGTTACATATATTAGAATTGCAAAATAATGATAATAGATAATTAAATTTTATATTAAAAAAAATTAAGTAGAGAATGACAATTAATATTTTTTTTATTTGATAAAACAAATAATTTATTTGAGAAGTGTAAAAGAATACAACTATTTGGATAAAGTGATAATTTTAGTGAAAGAGAATTCATAAAAAAAAATATTGTTGATGATTTTTTTTTGGTTAAAATAATAAAATTGTTATACACAAAAAATAATAAAAATAATAATAATAAAATAGCAGGATCTTAAAGGAAATTAGGACACGAAGTTGGGCGGAAAATAAGAAAATATGCACTCAGGTCGGTTGGTCCGCAAGTCGGAAGGTCCGCAGGTTGGAAAGACCGCGGGTCGGAAGGTCCGCAGGTCTGATGGTCCACAGGTCGAAAAGTCTATAGGTCGGAAGGGTCGCAGGTCGGATGGTCCGCAGGTCGGAAAGTCCGCAAGTCGGACGGTCTGCAGATCGGATGGTCTGCAAGTCGGACGGTCTGCAAGTCGGATGGTCCGCAAGTCGGGAGGTTTGCGGCTGGACCAACAAGTCGGAAGGTCCGCGGTCAGGCAGGCAGGTCGGATGGTCTGCAGTCGGGTTGGTTGGTTTGCAGTCGGTTGGTCCGCCATCGGTTGAGTCGGTCAATACGGAGTTTGGACCAAGCGATGGTCTGTTAATTAGTCGCCTAATTAAGTGAACAGTAGTTCAGTCGCTTGGTTGGGGCGACCATTGAATCGTCTGGAAAGACCAGAGGGTAGTCACTTGATGGGGCGACCAAGGAATCGTTTGATCTAGTGATCAGTTAGTCTCTGGATTGGTCGGCTGGGTTATGCGGTTGGCAAGACGGTTGCCGTAACCGACCAGACGACGTTTCAAAATGTTTCGTTGTGGGCAGTTGACGGCAGTTGCTGGCGACGGTTCCGAAACGTCTCTTTTGAGGAATATTTAAGGATTGGGGTCCGCAGATCATCTTCAATCGACATCAAATTCAAGAGAATTGCTTTTGGGGACATCAAATTCTAGTTTATTTTCTTATGTACCGTACAATGTTTAGAGATTCCTAATCTCAGGCACTAATTAATCAAGTTTGAAGATAAATTCCTATTTTCGGATTTTACTTTTTATTGTTGAAAAAATACATCAACAAATTGGCGACCACAGTGGGAGAAAGACAAGATTGCTTATCCTACATCATCAGAGAATTTCATACGACTGAGGTCCGGCCGAATCATCAAAAAGATCACTATGGCAAGCTCACAACCTCAATCATCATCAGCACCGGTGAGAGAAAATTTTTCACCACCTGTCATGCCAAATCCAGGAGAGATTCCCCAACCACCTACCGATTGGTTGTCTTATGTTCAACAATTGAACAATCAGCAAACTTTGGTTGTGCAGAACATGTTGCGTGAATAACAAAATCTAATGCATAACATGTTAGATCAGACGTTCTCCAGATTCACCCTACATTCAAACATGCCTCCAGCCTTGTCACCTTCTCGCTTTCAGGCAACTTTTCCAGGATCAACGTTTGCAGGGCCAACATACGTTGACAGTACATTTCCAAGCGTCACAACTTTTAACCAAACAGATATGGGGAAGACTCCTCTAACTTTCCCAGATAATGTTCCGTTGGGACCGAGGGTTTATCATACACAGCCGAATGAGAGGTTGTGGGGACAGGCTCATAATCCCATCCCAGACGAGCCAACCGTCCCCAGAGAAGAAAGATCGAGAGATCATATTCATAATCCCATCCCAACTGAGCCAGCCTTCTCTAGGGAAGATTTTGTTCCACCCAGGATAGATCCAGAGGATATCGCTCAAGTTTTGCGGGTGCATTTCGGAATGAACCCGCAAAAGGTGAACCGACCGGCGTATCAAAGGCCATTTCCAGAGAGAATCATCAATGAGTATCCTCTCCCGAGGAATTATCGACCGCCAGACTTTCATGTTTTCTCAAGAGAAGACGGATCCTCCACTATAGAGCATATGGGTCGGTTCACAGCACAATTAGGAGAAGTCGGTAATAATCCTTTTTATAAACTGCAACTATTTGGTTTGTCTCTTACCAGAACAACTTTTTCATGGTTTGTAACTCTGCCACCTGGGCAAATACAAACCTGGGAAGGTTTAGAGATGGCGTTCCATGCTATATTCTTCAACCCTTTACCAGCCGTCTCTCTTTCCGATTTGTTGGAACTGAAACAATATCCAGAAGAGACAGCCTCACAGTTCATCGAAAGGACACGTCTAATGAAGGGGCGTTGCCCGACAGTCATTGAGGAGAGTGAAATGACCAACCTAGTGGTCAGGAATATGCATACACGACTGCGGGAGGCTTTAACGGCCCACGACGTTCGAGATCTGGCCAGTTTAGCATCCAAGGCAGGGAGGTTAGAATCATTTTTTAGAGAAAACGATCACGACTTCTGCCAGGGAGGAGGTGCTGAAGAAATCGTAGTGCAAGATCGA